CACTGAGCCAACATTCAGTCAGCATCTCCTAAGAGAAAGCATATACCCAGTAAACAATTATGTGATACATTCTGATTGTATAAATTACGACGAGGAAATGTGCAATGTATTTTGAGAGAGAAAAGGATGGAGCAGCAACTAACTTCCTGGGAAGTTTAGAGAAAACTTTTAAAGGGCTTGACTTTGAACTGAATCTTTAAACATGAGTAGTTGTAGAAGGAAAAGTTCTCCAGATGGAGGCTTGAACATGGTTATAAGTTAGGTTTGTTTGGGCCAGAGTGCAGGGTTATCAGGAGTATGGCAGTAGGAAGGCTGTTTGGGAGTGGAATGTTGAGGAATTGAAAGACCAGGGAACTGATTGTATTTCTACTTTAGCAAGGCATCCCATGCTGAGGGGGACTGCCTAATGAAGGGGAAGAGCCAGAGTTGGGGAAATTATACGTGATGAAGGTCTAAATGATACCTGAGGGGATGAAGAGGCAGGAGAGATTTAAGCGAGAACTGAGAGAACGGGGTGATGAATTAGCTGTGTGAGTGAGAAAGGGATAAAGTCAGAAAGAATTATTTCTATTAATGGAGATAGAAAAAGGAGGAACTTACTGGACCTGGGTGTTCAGGAGAAGGCGAGTTCTGTTTTGACAATCAGTGGGCCTGCGGGATATCCCCAGGGGCTGACCTGTGAGTTTCAAGCCTAAACCTCCGGAGGGAATTAGGGTCAGAAACAGATTTGAGAGTTATCAAGTGAGAGATGAATTCGTGGAAGTCAACTTGGCCACCTAGGAGGAGCATATGGAGAGAAAAGGCTTGTGGGTGTAGAGTGTCCACGGAGGACAGGGGAGGTGTCCTAAACCGAAGAGGCTGCAAAGGTGGCAAGAGGATGAGGAGAAGTGTCAAAGTCAAGGGAATGAGAAGTTTCCAGAGAGTTGGTCCTTCCTCTAAGTCAGATGCTGAGAAAAGGTGAGGTCGGGTAACGACTGAAAACTGGTTATTGGATTTGACAATCGAAGTTTTCCTGTGGTCAGTGAGTTCAGGGTCTGGATTGGGAGATGTCTGGTTGGTGTTTGCAGTGGTTCACGAATGTTCCAACTGCCAGGTAGATTAGGGATGAGGAGAAGGTGTCCCATGCTCAGACAGGAGCCTGGAGATGTGGTGGCCCCAAGGGACCCTGCAGCAGCACAAGGCTGGCTAGTTTTGTGTTGGAACTCACGAACAAAGTTACATGTTGAAGTAAATAATACATATGGTTTTGTTATCTACTGTTTTATTTTCTTCGTGAGATGCTGTCAAGTTTAATAGGTTTTTCTAATTAAGTACTTCATATTTTCCCAACATTGGGAAAACTTCAACCAGACAGAAATGTTGAAAAATATTATGTAGCAAACATCCATCTATTGACTACCTTTCTACAATTAACATTTTGCTCTTTATCTTCTCATCATTCCATTCATTTTTTGATGCCCTTTACTGTAAGTTTAAGACATAAATACACTTTACCAGTGTGCATATCATTAACTAGAATTCAAGTATTTGCTTAGAATTCAATTATGTGTGTGTCAGATTAAAAAAATCACACAACTTGAGTGAAATATTCCCCGAGTTTTGACAAATTCATATACATCTGTGTAAGCCCTATTGTGGCTGGAACATCACCATCAACTCCAAGTCCCATTTCCCTTCCAGTTTCCACTTCTCCCCTCTCCCACAAAGTCAACCCTTGTTCTGATTTTTTTCACTAGAGGTTGGTTTTGCTTGTTCTAGAACTTCATATATATGGAATCTTGTGGCCTGTACTTTTTCATATCAGGCTTCTTTCACTCAGTAAAATGTTTTTGAGATCATTTCATCGGTAGTTTCTTTTGCTGAGTATTATTCCATTGTTTGATCGTATCACAGTTTTAATCTCTATTCCTACTGTTAGCTGCACTGTTTCCTGTTTTGGGCAACAATAAAGAGCCCTGCTCTAAATAGTCTAATGCAAGTCTTTCAGTGGGCATGTGCTTTCACTTCTTTTGGGTTAACAGCAGGAGTGGGATGGCTGGATCAAAGAATAGATGGGCTTAATTTTCTGAGAAACTTCCAGGCCTTCTTCCAAAGCTCGTTCCATCTTACACTTCCACTAGCAACGTTGCTTCACATCCTCTCCAACATTTGGTGTTGTCACTTCTCTTAGTCCTTCTAGTGCAGGAATATCCCGTTTCTCTGTGACTGATGATGTTGAATACTTTATCACGTGCTTATTGGCCATTCATGTATTTTCCTTTGTAAGGTCATCTGTTTGTCTTTTCATTATTGAGTTGTAAGAGTTTTTAATACAGTTAAGTTCTCGCTTAACGTTGTTGATAGGTTCTTGGAAACTGCCACACTAACAATTTTACCATAGACTGACTGATTTAAGTAGTTAAGTTCCTAAGGTACACGTCTGTGCGTCAGTTAACCCATGGCAAAATTGGTTAGCGTAGCCGTTTTCAGGAAGCTCTCAACAACAGAGGATTTGCTGTACGTTCTGGATGTTAGCTCTTTATCAGATACGTGTTGTGAGTATGTTATCCTGGACTGCAGCTTGCTTTTTTGGAGTTCAATTCATCAATATTTTTTCTTTTATGGTTAGTGTATCAAATTCGTCTCTAAGAAACTTTTGCCTACCCCCAAGCTGTGAAAATATTCTCCTATGCTTTGTTCTAGAAGCATAATAGTTTAGCTTTTATGTTATGGCCAGACTCATGTCTAATTTGTCCCCCACACCCACCCCCGTAGAGATATCCAGTTGTTATATAGCATTGTCTATTGAAAAGACTTCCTCCTATTAGATTGCTTTGGTGCCTTCGTAAAACATCAAACTACTTCATATTTAAATTTATTTTACTATTCATATAAACTGTTTTTATTCATACATTCTCTTAATATCCCCTCATATATCACTGGGGTTGGATATGTTTTCCAGTTGAGAAAACCAAGACTCAGAGCAGTTCAGGAGCTTGTCCAGGAGGACACAAAGCCAAGACCTTGAACACAGAACTACTACTGAACCATAAAAGATGTTAACATTTTAAACCTATTTTATCCATTGGAAATATTATTGAATGAGCATATTTTTATTTCAACACTGGCAGTATTTTTAGGCTCTCAGCCAAACACATGCCTCTCTTGCAGGCTTGTGTATGTCCAAAAACAATCTTTATATTCACCTCTGGTTTGAAAGAGTGAAAAATTACAATGCTTGCTCCCCCAAATTGGGTAAGAATGATAGCTTTTAGCCAAGGTTGTTTGGACTTCTAAAAATAGTGACTATTTGAAAAGCCTAGTTGGTGAGTGTACTTGATCAATAGTCTTGGGGTAAGATATTTTCTCTTAAAAAAAGAAAAAACAACCAGGAAAAGGTTTATCAGTGTCCGTCCTAGTTATCTAAGAGAAATACGTTCTGTAGTAGTTTAATATGATAAAGATACCCTAGCACTCGAACTAAATTTTTTTTTTAATCCTCACCCGAGGGTATTTTTCCATTGATTTTTAGAGAAAAAGACAGAGAAATATCAATGTGAGAGAAACACATTGATTGGCTGCCTCCTGCCCGAGCCCGGACCAGGGCGAAGGAGCCTGAAATTGAGGGACATGCCCTTGATGGGAATCAAACCCGGACCCTGTGGTCCCCAGGCCGACACTCTATCCACTGAGACAGACCAGCTAAGGCTTGAACTAATTTTTTCATGAGACAAAGTTGGAGGACTCACACTTCCTGATTTCAACACTGGTCAAAGCTACAGTAATCAGGATGGCCTGGACTGGCCTACAGTAGACATGTAGACCAGTGGAATAGAACCAAGATTCCAGAAGCAAAACCTTATATTATGGTGAATGCATTTTTGACAATGGTGCCAAGACAATTCAATAGTGGAGGAAATAATCTTTACAATAGAGGGCAGGGACAACTGAACATTCCCATGCAAGATACTTAGTTTACACACATACAAAGTAAACTAAAAATGCATTGAAGACTTAAATGTACCATAAGAGCAAAAACTCTTAGAAGACAACATAGGTTGTTTTCTTTGTGACCTTGGATAAGGCAATGATTTCTTAGATATGAAACCATAAGCCCAGTTGACAAAAAAATAGATAAATTGAACTTCAAACAAATCAAAACATTTGTGCTTCAAAGGATACTATCAAGAGAGTAAAAACACAACCCACAGAATGGAAGCAAATATTTGTAAATTATCTGTAATAATAAAAGCGTAATATGTAAATCGACTGAATGGCTGAACAGCAGAAGGACTGTCCTGATGTCCTTCCAGATGAAGCCGGGGCTGCAAGGGCTGAGGCAGCCGGGTCTGTAAAGGCCTACTCTTGCACAAATTTCGTGCATAGGGCCTCTAGTATATCTAGTAAAAGACATATCTACAATATGTAAAGGGTGTTTACAACTCAATAATAAAAGGACAAATCACACAATTAAAAAATGGGCAAGGGATCTGAATAGACATTTCTCCAAAGGAAAATATAAATGGCCAAAAAGCACATAAAAAGATGCTCTATGTCATTAGTCATTAGGGAAATGCAAATCAAAACCACAATGAGATATCACTTCACACTCACTAAGATGGCTATAATCAAACAGATAATATCAAGACTGGCAAAGACAGAAAGAAACTGGAACCCTCCAACCTTGCTGGTGAGAATGGAAAAAAGTTTGGCAGTTTCTCAAAAATTTAAACATAAGGTTATCATGTGACCTAGCAACTCTATTCTTAGGTATATACCCCCCAAAATTGAAAAAAATTTGTCCGTGAATATTCATAGCAGTAGTATTCATAATAGGCAAAAAGTGTTAACCCAAATTTCCACCAACTGATGAATGAATAAACAAAATGTATATCCATACAATGGAATATTATTTGGCAAAAAGAAAAAAATGAAATGAAGTACTGATACATGGCTACAAAATGGATAAACTTTAAAAACATGCTAAGTGAAAGAAGCCAGACACAAAAGAACACGCATTATATGACTCCATTTTTATGAATGTCCAAAACAGGCAAATCTACACAGGCAGATGATAGACTAGTAGTTGCCAGGGGATGAGAATGGGGTGAATTGGGATGTACAGGGTTTCTTTCTTGGGGTGATGAAAATGTGCTTGGTTTAGATACAGTGATGGCTGCACAATTTTGTGAATATACTAAAACCACTGATTTGTATCCTTTAAAATGGAAGATTCTCTGGTACATTAATTATCTCAATAATACTTCAAAAGGACAAGCAGGCATTGGAGACCTTAAAGTTTACCTAAACATAAAACAAAAACTTGAACCTTTTTCTATGATTTAATTCAGTTTTATAAATATTATCCTTTTTTCTTCAATAACAATAATCATTATAAAAATAGTAATTAAGCACTTATTAGGCATTGTACCAAGCATTTTATACTTTGTTTTCTCTCTCAAATCACCTCAATAACCTTGTACATTGGTGCTATTATCCCATTTTACAGAAAAGAAATTGAAGCTCAAAGAGGCTGAGTAATTTTCCCAGGATCATGGGAAGGTAAGTCTGACTCCTGAGGTTCTATTGTACCATTTCATCTTCCTTAAACAGTGATGTTTTGGTCTCCAATATTATTATTTTTCAATGTGTTATATTGTTCTTCTATCTCCAGTAACAAATTCGATATCATTTCAGGGATCAATATTAAATAATGATTTTTCTTTCTCAGTTTGTTGAGCACTGACAGAGCAAAGACAGAAAAAATTCCCATATCACAAGCTTTTATTTGTATCAAATTACAGAGTACCATAAGTAAATATAAGATTATGATTTGAATATAATATAATTTATAATTTGGCAAGTTATTTAATTATCCAAAGTTTATGATATATTTGATTATACACTGAAGAGATGATTTGGCATAACTTGGCAAGGTAAATATTTCTGTACCTTATTTGGCTATTTATTGTGTGTATATGTGGTACATATATGTATGAATGTGTGTACACACACACACATACACACACACACACATATCCCTAAATATACTTGTATAAAAAGCTAAAGATTGATGTGTTAGGTTAATTCCTTTAAAAATATCTATTATATTAAATTGCACCTGCATTCAAAGCAGAAATGTAAAAAAACCTGATCAATTTGCTAAATACACATGAATTTACAAAGTAATTGAAAATGAAATAAAAATTTCTATTGAAATGTTATATTCCTGTTTAATTGACATTTAAGTGGCACTATCACACTATGGAAATAAACAATCATTTTTGAGTTTGTTGAGAGAATAAAGATTCTACTGAGCATTACTACACATTCTAAGTTAAGATTGACCATTATTATGTAGGAAAAGGTGGCAGATCATTTTCTGTGTTACGCTGGGGATTCTCAGGAAGCGGTCGGGCAGTGTCTGTGCCCCCTGGCCTGGGTTCCTGCGCCTCCTCAGTGGAAGTCGGGCTTCTCGGGGAAGGTGCAGCCAGTCCGCCTAATTATGACGCTCGCTGCATAGTGGCCAGCACGGATGCACTCAGTCAGCGGCTTGTCATACACCAGCTGAGACAGGAAACCTGAAACACAGACAGAGGGGAAGACCGTGAGTACCAGGCAACGGCATCGGAAATGTCACTGGGTCAGACCAGAAAACAGTCTAGACACCTCCACCCTTCTTCAGCCTGGTGGGGAGGTCTTCCCCCAAGCATCATGAGCTGCCCCTGATATTTCTTTTAAAGAGCTCGAGGTGGGACATGGCAACTAACTTTCTAAGCCTAAACTATCACTCTTTCCTTTAGCTTTGAGGTGACTGTGAGTAAGAAATACTGGCCAAATAATATTTTCTTGGGTCTTTATAGCTGAGGCGTTATTAGTTATTTATCCTCCTCCCTGCCTCTCTGGATTTCCTCTGTGCTTTTATTCCTAGCATATTGTTTTGGACAAAATCCCACCATCTGGATGTCTCTATAAGTACAAGTTTGAGAGTTGAAAAGTTAGGAAGGACCCTACATCTCCCTTTCATCCCCAAAGTAAGAGCAAGATAATTTCTATAGTTAAGTACCATGGATCAGCTGATAACAAAATAAATAGAATAGAGTGGAAAACAGTTTTGAGGACTTCTGCTTCTGACCCAAATGAAATGAAAGGAACCAGATTTACCTTTCTCCACAAAAACTAAGATAAAGACAATATACATGAAAAAAAGTTTTTCAAATATTGCACATCAGCCACAAATGATCCACGAAAGGACATACAAGGAAAGCCGTACAACAAGGAAAGCTCCAGCTCATGCCTGGGGGTACCAGGCCATGACACAAGGGAGAACCACCAGGCAGCGCTCGACAGTCTCACTGAATTGAGAAGATGGAAGTGGGAGTCCAAATGGGACGTAATTAAATATCTAGGCAGACTGGTCAGGAAAAAAAGAGACAAGACATAAACCACCAATATTGGGAATAGTGATATCACTATAGAATCTATACCTAAAAGGATAATAAGGAAAATATATTAATTTTGTAGTTAAGAAGTTTCCCATAAAGAAAATTCCAGGTCCAAATTGTGTCACAAATATTTAAGGAAAAAAAAATATCAATGCTATACAAATACGTTAGAAAATGGAAAAGGAGGGAATATTTCCAAATCATTCCATAAGCCAGAATTATTCTGATAACATATTCAGAAATGATGCAAATATTCTGAAGAAAATATTAGCAAATCCAACCCAACAGTAATTTAAAAAGATAATAAATTATGATCAGGAGGAGTTTACCCTAAGAATGCAAGTTTGTTTAACATTAAAAAAATTAATATAATTTACCATATTAACTACGAAAGCCATAAGATCATCTTAGTGATGCAGAAAAAGCATTTGACAAAATTCAACATCCACTGCTAATAAAAACTTTCAGCAAACCAGGAATAGAAGGAAATTTCCTCAACCTGATAAAGGACCTTATGAAAAACTTCCAGTTAATATCATTCTTAAAGTTGATGACTCAATGCTTTCCCCTTAGGATAAAGAACAAGGCAAGGATGTTTGCTCTTAAACACTGTTCTTGAGACTCCAGCCAGTGCAACAGGCAAACAAAAGAAATACATAAAAGGCATCAAGACTGAAAAAGAAGTAAGACTGTCTTTACATGCAGATGGCAAGATTGTCTGTGTCTATGGTTCTCAATAGTAGGCAGTTTTGCCCCCCAGGGGACATGGGGCAATGTTTGGAGACAATTTTGTTTATTATAACTAGGGTGGGGGTGCTTCTGGCATTTAGAGTCCAGGGATGCTGCTAAATATCCTATAATATCAATAATGTTAAGATTGAAGGATCAAGAAGATGTGGTACCTATACACAATGGAATGCTACTTAGCCATAAGAAAGGATGAAATAGTGCCATTTACAACAACATGGAAGGACCTTGAGAACATTATGCTAAGTGAAATAAGTCAGAAAAAGCGAAGAACTGTATGATTTCACTCTTATGTGGGATATAAAACTGAAACTTGTGAACACAAACAGCAGTGTGGTGGTTGCCAGAGTGAAGGGGGAGGGGCGAAAGGGGGTACTAGTATATGGTGACTGGAGATTTGACTTTGGGTGGTTGGCACATGGTGCAATATACAGATCTTATAACATAGAAACCCACACCTGAAATCTATATGTTCATTTTGACCAATGTCACCTCAATAAATTTAATTTAAAAATTGGAAAAATCCTATGTAGAAAATCTTATGAGAAAAAGGTTCTAGAAAAAAGTTATTAGAATTATTAAGTGAGTTTGGTCAAGTTGCAGGATACAAGATCATTATATAAAAACCAACTGAATTTCCATACTAGTAATGTGTGAATATATAAGCAATTGTATATACTAGCAATGAACAATTAGAAAATGATATTAAAATACTATTTACCATACCATCAAATGTGTGAAAAATCTAGGGATAAATCTAACAAAAGTGGTGTAAGACTTGCACACTGCAAATGACAAAATATGCCGAAATAAAAGAAATCTAAATAATTAAAGAGATACAGAGTGCTCATAGATCAGAGAACTCAATATTGTTATCAGCTAAGCAGAAATTTTTCTATTGATTCAAAATGCCAATAAAAATTCCAGCAGGATTTTCTTACAGAAACAGATAAGTTGATTCTAAAATTTATGTGGAAATGCAAAGGATTAGTCAAAATACAAATTTGAAAAAGAAGACTACTTGATTAAAAAAACTTATAGAACTAAAATAATGGAGATGCTATGGTACTGGCACAAAGCTAGATAAACAGATTAGTGAAACTGAATAGAGTCCAGATATAAATCTACTTCTATATGGTCAATTGATTTTTGACAAAGATATCAAAGCAATTCAATGGAGAAAGGACAGTGTTTTAAACAAATGGTCTTAGATCAGCCATATGTAAAGCAAACAAAAACTTCAACCCTTACCTCACATCATCTACCAAATTAATTTGAAATGGATTACAGATCTAAATATAAGAACTAAAACTATAAAACTCAGAAAAAAATTGGAAAAACATTTTAGTGCTTTTGAATTTGCCAAAGATCTCTTAAGACATAAAAAGTACAATCTTTTATAAAAGAAAATATAATTTAGACTTTGCCAAATTAAACATTTTTATACATCAATAACAAGAAACAACCAACAGTCTTGGCAGGGTAGCTCAGCTGGTTAGTGTCCTGATATGCCCAGGTTATGGGTTTGATCCCCGGTCAGGGCACATATAAATGTATAAATAAGTGGAACAAAAAATTGATGTTTTTCTCTCTCTCTTTTCATCCTATAAAAATTAATAAAAAAATAAAACAAGAAACAACCCAACAAAAAATAGGCAAAAGTATTGAATAAATTAAAGAAGATAAAAAGATGCCAAATAAGCCCATGAAAAGATGTTTGACATCATAGTGATTAGAAAACTGCAAATTAAAACCATAATTAGATACCACTGCCCACCCACTAGAATGGCTAAAATGAAAAAAGACTGACCATTCCAAGTGTTGACAAGGGGTGTGGGTCAACAGGAACACTAACATACTGATTATTGGAATATAAAATGGTAAGATACTTGGGAAAACCATTTGTCAGTGTCTTAAAAAGTTAAACATACATCTATCATATGACCCAGTTATTCTATTACTAGGTATTTAACCCAAGGTAAATGAAAGCATATATCCACACAAGTAACTGTAAATAAATGCTACAGCTTTATTTGTAATAGCCCCAAACTGGAAACAATCCAAATGGGAATAAGAAGGGACAGACAGGAGGGCAGGGTTACAAAAGAAGGTGGATATACTAGTAATGGCTGTGTTCGTAGTGATGGGTTCACAGGAGTACACATATGTCAACATTTGTAAAATTGTACACATTAGATATGTGTAGTTTTCTGTATGTCAATTATACTGCCATAAAACTATAAAACAAAGTGAGTGTTGTAGTTACAAATAAGCTACATCGTATTAGGTGGGGCCTGGGGCTCCTTCCCCTCTGGGGGAAACCTGAGCTGCTGCAGTGGTACTCAAATCCTCAGAAGAACAGACGGTAATGAGAAACTGTTCCTAGCCAGACTTCCAGGATTCCCACCTAGGTCCCGGCAGTCTGGGGCGTGGGGGCGGATGAAGGTTAATTGAGAAGCTGTGGTACAGTGACCTGTAGGGAGCCTTATGTGAGATTTATGTCCTTTCTCCTCTGCCATTCTGACCACACAGGCTTTTCCCGTTAGATTTGGGGAATGCTCTGTATCAGATAAAATAAGTAAGTATTCCCAACCAAAGGATAAAATTAACTTAGTAAATGGAGTGATGTGTTTTGAAGACATGTGCTTAGAATGTGAAGTCACCCTCTCGAGAGGTTTAGTGAGAGCATTTTATCATTGAGTTTTCAGGTAACAGTCAAAGGTCACTATTCACTTTCAGCCAAACTGTGAGGCTAAACGCTCAGCCCACCACAGCGAATGGAGCAGATGCCAAATTCAGAGTCAGATCAGCTTACAATGGAAACACGTCTATTAGGAGCCTTATGAGCAACATCTGTTTTCCTCATTCCTCCTGGTATAATCCTTGTGAGAAAGAGAGAAGCTCATGTTGTTGAAATATTTTTGTGAAGCATAAGCACCCGCATCCTCTTGCTAAGAGGGCAGCTAGCGAGGACTGACGTGGAGGACTCTGCAGAGGCATTTGCTTTGACAAGTGGAAACCTGGATGCAGAGAAAAGCTAAGACCTTTGTCCCAACTGAGTATCAGTTTTTCAATAACCTATTTTCAAAAACCAACTGAGATGAACTACAGATGTTATATAATCAATTATAAGTGGACCTGTCGCTGATGTGAATCCAAGAGCTGTGTGAAATGGTTTAAGCATTGGGAGCGTATAAAGAGTCATAGAGAACCATTTATAATATGAATAAACACCCCAAGATAGTTTTTATTGTGTAAGATATAAATAACCTAGAAATTACCATTTAAAGTGCACAAGTCATACCATGCAGTGTTGTGTAACTATGACCTCTATCCATTTCCAGAACTTTTCTTCACTCCAACAGAAATGCTATAGTCATTAAACAATA